ATTATTAAACAAGTATTACCTATGTATTTAATGTTAATTAGAAGAAGAGGAGATTATGGTCAAAGTATCCATTTTTCTCTCCCTGTGCTCTCTCATCCTACCAGTTCCTCCCTCCATCAGCTTCTTAGGGAAAAAAAAACTAAGGAGTTACCGTATTGTAACAATACACTAGCACCACCATGTGGCTTCAGAGAGAATTGACAGATATATTGGTGTAGTTCGGATAAGAGTAAGCTAGAGCAGCAGCTCCCAACCTGTTGGGAACCAGGGAGCGATTCTGTGGAAAGAGGTTTTTCTGCTGATTGAAGGGTGTGTGGTTTTGTGTGTTGACTGCATCCCATGGGTGGGACTTCACTTATTTGTCCAGATCAGTTTCTGGCATGCCCAATGACCGGGGGTTAGAGACCCCTGTTATATAGTATGACTATGGCTAAAGTGCCATAACATTGTGGAATCTGAAAAACAGATAAGACTTTGGACTGCACTCTACGCAGAAGATAGATAATGGCAATTGTGAGATGACTAAGATAACGCTATGCAATTTTGTTTACTGATTTTAGAGTCCATGTTGACTTTGATTACATATAATTGATTACTTGTTCAAATAAGTCAGTAATTAACTTATATGATTTGATGAACAGAACAAGGTCATTCAGCATTCAGATGTCACTTAACTCAGGAGTAACAGAATCACTTGAAACAAGAGCTGCAGAAGAAGACTAGTTAGATTCAGGTGGGGGAGAAATGAGTCTCACTTTTGGCATTCTCTCGGGGCCTTTTCTTTGAGTGGCGCTTTCCTGAACAAATCGTGCAGTCCATCCGGCCACATGCACAAGCAGAAGGCAGGAGTTACTTTACGCCAGAGGAGAATCCATGACCTTTCTGATAGATGCTTCCATAGCAAGCAAAATGGCTCTTGGTACTTCTCTGTACCCATAAAATCACTGTTGGCTATTAGGAAGACAAAAACAGACAAGCAAATAAATAGCCCCATCCTATCTTCTGTTTCCTAGAAGAACCAGCCAGAGGCCTCAAGGAAATCCCCAAGTAAGGTTTGAAAGGCAATGCTGCTCATTTGTCTTTGGGCATTTTATACTTTGGATGTAAGTCCACTTCTGCGCAATATTTAGCAATCGTGAAAATTTTCTTCTTCCAGTGGTCCTTACAATTATCACAAGTAATTAGACTCCATGCACATGTGTGTGTGTGTGTGTGTGTGTGTGTGTGTGAGAGAGAGAGAGAGAGAGAGAGAGAGAGATCTGTTAATTAGCACTGGAAAAGTGACTAGCAAACCGCTGGTCCATTACATCCATTTCAGACCTTTTTATTAAATAAACCTGTGTACACAATGTTTGCGTTTGCAGTAAATGTCCTACAGTTGGAAGGCTCACCATACCTTTTTAAAATAAAAAAGGAAGAATTTTTCCTTCCCTTTATTAAACTTCTTCAGAAGTTGAGTGGAATCCAGCTGGCCTCCTAGAAGAAAGACACTTCCCTAGCCTTATCTTGAGATGGGACTCTGGATTGCTGGTGCTGAATAAGATAGCATAAACTTTATGTTACCCTTACCGTGACTGCTACTCTTGTGGCATTATTCCCATTAGCTGACACAGACAGCACTTCTGGAAGGCAGAAGTGGGAAAATCAACACTCTAGACAAGGGGTGGGGAACTATGGCCCTTTATGACTTGTGGCTCAGGAATTGAAGTTTACAAGTCATAAAGGGGCCACAGTTGCCCATCTCTGCTCTAGACAGTATCTAAAATCACTGAGCAAGCTAGCTTTATGCTGAACAAAATGTTATCAATATGGATCTTAAAGAATTTATTTAACAAATATATGTGCCCACCCAATTCATATCTGGTAACACTGGGCAGTGTACAGCATTAAAAATCCACAACATAAAACTTTGCCTCCCTACCTCCTCCAAGGCAGCAACCTGTATAATCACACAAGCCACTTGATCAGCTCCGTAGTAGTCTGGGCTCCACAGGCCTGCTGACAAAACCACATCTTCAGGGCCTTCCAGAAAAGTAACAAAGTGGAGGCCAATCTTATCTTGAAGGGAATTGTATTTCATGGGGAGGAAGCCACCACTAAGAAGGCCTCTTTTCTTGGTTTCACAAGAGTTTTTTTTTTCAATAGTTGGGACTTGCAAACATATCCTGTTTTTTTTCCCCTTGGTGAACTGGAGAGAGGCTGTCCTTCAGATAACCTGTCCCCTAGCCACGTGGGGCATTAAAAGTGATAACTAGCACCTTGAATTGTACCCAGAAGCAAATCAGCAACCAATGCATCTCTGGAAACAAAGATGACACATGCATGAATCTAGGTTTGCACAGGCTCTTTGAAGAGAAATGTAAACATTGCTTTTATCCAGAAGGTAAGAAAGAGGGGAGAATTATGATCCAAGGTTGATTTCTCATGGAATTAATTTCAAAACCAGGCTTTGTGGGACACACTAGGTACATTAGATGGTGGGGAGAAATGGGAGAATTAGGCCTCTGTGCTACAAGATCAGATCAGAATTTCTAAGAACAGCTCATGAAGAACTGCAGATGCCCTTGGACTTTGGTGCACCATAGTAAAAAAATAAAAATGTAAAAAATATCCTGCTAGCTTGATATCAGGCAATGAAATAAAACAGCCACTCCAAAGCCACAATATCTCTCCTATCCCAGGGCCCCTTCTAAACTTAGCATTAGCAGCTTGTGCTCTCTAAGTGCATGCCGTATCTAGCATCATTTCAATGATCATCTTTGAATGTTTTGAAGAGTTGTGTTTCTTTGCAGATTTGGAAAAAAACCCTAATCTGAATACAATACTGTCTGTACCATGTAGCATCAACAAAAAAAAACTTGATTAATACCTTGTAGTGCCCATGGTATTTTGGACACTAATAAAATCTCCATATGAAATCTTGTTTTTTAGACCCAGCTTAATTTCTTAGTGTTTTTATGTCGTAAGCACTGTGGTCAAAAGATTATTCCTGCATTATTATTCATGTGAATCTTCAACAAAATCTTGCAGTTTTTCATAGCGGTACATGAAATCTTCAGGCAGGACTATGATTTGTAGGCTAATTGCTCTTACAGTTAATGTCATAGGTATATATTTTACTTGTCAAGTCAGAGAAGTTGATGTTGAATGGAAATTGGCAATTGGAGAATACAGCAAGAAGGAACACGACGTAATTCCCTTCTCTTGGCTTATAGCAGTTGTCAAATGTGAGAAACAAAATGCTCGGCTAGAGAGACTTTGGTCAGTTCTCATAGGACTCTCCTGATATTCATGCTACATTTTGCTGGTTTCCAGTCCTGTATCAAGTAGAGGAATAAAGATGTGTGGAGAAGATCCCATTTTTAAATTTTAGGGACATTTATCAAGAATCCTTGCTATCTATCACAGTGGTTCTTAACCTTTTTGAACGAATCGCCCCCTTGAGCCAATGAGGAAGTTGTCATCGCCCCCCTCCCCCAACACAACCTCTCAATCACAACATAGGAAATAATTCTTCAATTTATGCAAACACTTTTTTTGTTTTTTTCTTTAAAATTGTCATCAGGACATATCGATGCAAATAATTTATTTCCAGTCTTTTTCCCATATCTCCCATATTCTGGCCAATGGCGCACCACTGTATGGGAAGAGGCTGCTGTGCAACGCGCATGAAGATAAGCGATGCGTATTCACATATGTATGGCGTTCTGTACTGAAGCTAGCTGGAAGAACATTTGAAAACACAATTCAATCCACTAATAGCGAGCGATCTGATGTTTTTGTACGACAGATATACAGAGATTCACTGTACGAAAAAGTCTCAAAAGTGTCCCCAAAACTTCTCGCTCCATCGCCCCCATATCGCCCCCTTTTCGTTCCTTCGCCCCCGCATCGCCCCTTTTCATTCCATCACCCCCCTGAAAAATGAAATCGCCCCCTGGGGGGCAATATCGCCCAGGTTAAGAACCACTGATCTATCAGACCAAACCTTTTGACTTGGCTATTCAGTATGCTTCCAAGTGGCAACAGCCTGCACTTATAAAATTTTATAAGGGATACAAGCATGTTCTCCAGTATGGAGATAACCTTCTCCTATTAAAAGTGGAACATTTAGAAATCATACCCAGTTGTCTTTATCTCCACTTTTCTTTCCCCTCTTAAAAAAATAGTGCAGCAGGTTTTTGCTCCCCATGGAGCTAATAGTATTTATGGATATAGGGGACCGTGTCATTGCTGGAAAAACATACTTTCAGAAATTCTTCATCCTCCCAGAAGTCATTTGGGGTTTCATGTTTCTTCTTCAATTCAATTTTTAAAGATCTGGAAGATCCTAATTATATCTTTCTGACCCCAGTTCTAATTTAGTTCTTGGTGAACATTTGACATCCAGGTTACATATTCTGACTCATCAAATGATAACTTGCATCTTACCAAATATGAGAAACTTCAGGATTTCTAAAGGTATTTTCCATGTTCTCTTTAAGATGAAGCCCAGGATTTGTGGGTAATTCACATTTACAGTACTCTTACAGAATGTCTAAACTACTAGCCTTTACATCAGGGGTCTTCAAACTTGGCCCTTTTATGACTTGTGGACTTCAACTCCCAGAATTCCTCAGCCAGCATGCCTGGTTGAGGAATTCTGGGAGTTGAAATCCACAAGTCATAAAAGGGCCAAGTTTGAAGACCCCTGCTTTATATTATTGTTTTAAAAGGGCATGCATGGTATCGGAGAATCGGTATAAGATATTTGGCTTGGAATAACAGTTGTATATGTTGTATGAACTCATCAGTTTGTTTTTACTTTATTTTACAATTGAATATTTGCAATTCTAACCATAGCTGAACAATTCCTTAGGTCACCATGGCAACTTCATTTCAACATACATCACAAATATGACATTCATGTAAAAAGAAAAAGGGCTTCAATTGCCTAGTGGCACCTGCCATTATGATGCCAAGACACATGAACACTACAGTTCTGCAGCAGACTTCCCAAATCGGGTACCTCCTGATATACTAAGACTACAACTCCCAGGATTCCTAGTTAGTCTGGAGTTTGCCTGGTTGGGGAAAGCTGGCTTTGGAAATTATACATGTGATGTTCTTTCCACTGCCCATAAGGGGCACTTATTGACTGTATATTCAACTGAGATTCACAAGAAGGAATTCTTGCCTAGGCAAGTTAGGAAAGATTTTGGCAATATTAAGTTTTGGAATGAAGAAAAGACAATTTGGTAAAACTGCTCTTGAAAACTAAAGTAGACCATATATATGCGAAGGCTGCAGCCAAAATGGAATATTTTATTAATCTTAGTTATAACAACAATTATCAAAAGTAGAAAACAAAACTCAGAAGTTACAAAAAATAACATAAATTTGGCTTTAAAATATGACAATGACTAATACTTTGCACACGTAGTACAATAGTAGGTAGCCTACCACAGCATCAGAAGAGATCAATAGCAACACAGTATAGAATGCATCTAAATGGCTCTTGCTCAGACCTGGCTTAACAGCATCCCAGCTAGCCACATCTGCCTCACCTGCACTGTGGTTTTGCCTTGAGAACAGAATAAGCAAGTAGCAATTTCTATGCCCAGAACATAATGAAACATCTCGAAAGATCACTTCTGCCCAATTATATTTGTAGAAATTCAGGCCTTGCTAGTCTACAGGATAAAAATCCTGTTGAGTTAATATTGCAGAACTATGTGATGGGAGAGTTGGAATTTGAGTGGAATAAACTCAAAATTTTCCTTACTGTCTCATCTGCAATAAGCTTTTTTTGAGGATTTTTTATCTGATTACAGTGGAGGCTGAAATGAAAGGCAGAATTAATTTTTCAGTAGGCAAGAATAGTTTGTGAAAACAACCTCCCTGTGCACAGGAGTTCAAGCTGACCTCCAAAAGCAAATGGGATATAAAGAGTGTTGATAGGAAAGATTTCAATTCTGGAACAGCAAGGAATGTTGTTGGATAAACTTGAGAAATATTTCTATCTTTAATCTGATCTGACCTCATTGGGAATTGGAAAACTTTCATAAAGTTTTGAGCAACTCAGAGGAAGGACAGATAAGCATCTGCCATATAACTAAGACCGTGAATAATTGTCATCCTATGTCCTCCATCATCTCAACAACCTCCAAATAGATCAGATTACAATATCCATAATTACTAGCACAGCCATTAACCTGCTTCCTGGATGTCATGGAGTTGGAGACCAATACAATTAAACAAGACGATGCAATAGTAGTGGAAGCTATCTTAGTATAAGGATCAATCATTTCTCTTGGTGATCTTCCTTGCATCTCTAAAGTAAGGATACTATTAACCCTGACAAGGGAAGAATAACACAAATACCATTTTCTGCAATTCCCAGTTCCTCCATAGACTTCCCATCCATCTGGACCCTGCAAACATTTGGGCTTCCATACTGTAGATGTAGCGATGAGCAATTTTGATCATGGAATAGTCCTATCTTGGAAATGGAATGATTCATCCAACATATTACTCATTATTTCTCACAAGCAGAAGCCAAGGAAGTACAGCCCCCAACAGAGCAACAGCAGAGATAAGAAAAACAGCCATCATAATAGGTGACTGGAAGCAACCCATTCCAGGACATGTTTGTGACGCCTCTGAGTCAGGAGCTTCTCCGGTGCTGTGATCTTGAGCTATGGTAATATAGTCCTCTTCAATCAGTGGCATTCCATACTGAGTAATAATGAAGATATGAGATTCACGTTCCAGGCCAGTGGGCCGTACAACGGAGTCCATGGTAGGATACCTCTGCAGACATTGATGTCTGTCATAAGTGTGCAGTGGAAAGAGAAAATGGCCAGGAACCACCAAAGTATTTGCAGAGCTGGGTGGCACTCCACAGGTGAGTGGCAATAAGGAAGGTGAGAGAGGCAACTCCAAAGAGGGCGGACTCAGGTCTGGCTTGGAAGGCAGGCAGTCCCTTTTATTACAGAGAAAAGTCACAAAGCGACAGATGGGACATGTAAGGGTATTTTGTAGAGGGCCTTCTTCATGTGACAGTAGACACTTGACCAAACAGTCATGACAAAATGTGTGGCCACAGCTCAGCATCCGGCGTGAGACTTTTGGAGACTGAAATGTTTCGTAACAAACAGGACACTCACCCGGGGTGGCGGCGGGAGCTTCTTTGCTAGTGTTGTTCTGAGACATCCCTGCCCTCTAAGATCACTTCTGTGAAGCAAGCTGGATGAAAAGCAGAGCATACAGATCTGTAATCAAACAGCTACAAATTGAAGAAGAAGAATATGTAAATGTAACACAAGGCTTGATTCCAAGCAGCTGGGAGGAGCTGCTGTCCCAAACCCAGAAGCTCCCTGTTCTATCCATGTGTGGATCCAAAGAGATGCTATTTAGACAAGGCTGTACAACCTAATGTAACCTGGGACAATATTTGGTCCCACAAAGCCTTTTATATGGCCCTTACAGCCCCACCAAACTGGCAAAACAGGGAAGTCATTAAAATTCATGGGAAGAAATCACATCAACTGTATTTCATTAATCTAATTTTAAATCCTGTTTGTGATTGTTAGATACAACACCCACACAAACACAAACACACAAACTTTTCTAACTCACTTTCCAGCCAAAATAGTTTCACTTAACCCATCTCTTCCTATATCCAAGTTAGCTAACAATCAAAACCAAAACCATATAATATAAATTATCACCACCACCTTCCAAATTGCAGCAAAATAAAAAAAAAATGCAGGATACCTGCATATAGCTACCCCCAATATATTCCTGCATTATTTGGTTGGTATGACACCAATGTGTTACACAGTTATGTACATACATTATCATAAGATGCTCAGATGTGATTCATCCATGGAGGTCATTTAAAGGAGATGGTTTTCTGAGGCTCCGGTGCTGTCCCATGAAGAATGCCGTCAGAAGTGTCTTCTTCCCGGGCACCAACCCTTTCCCAAGCACCTTTCCATGCACTCAATCATTCTAGGTCTGGTCTTCCCAGCACCCTAGAAATCAGCTTGCCTATATAATGAGAGATGGTTGCTGGGTGGCACACACACTAGAACTATGCTCTGTCTCTTGCATCACATCTTTAAGAGCTTAAAGGGTGGCTCCCAAGGAGTGAATGTGGAGGAACTTGTTTGTGAACTGAAGTTTTCTCCTTCTCTATTTGGGACTTGGGGCGGAGTCACCAGGAAGAGACCTTTTTTGGAGCCCTTCTGTGCCATGCCTATTAGATGAAATATACTGAAACTAAGTTACTTAGATCTATTGTACCTTAAATTTGTTTATTTCTGACTTATTGGAATGCCAGGCAGATTTGTTACTCTGCTATAACAGAGTAAGACTACCATCTCTGGGGTGCAAAAATTCAGTTGGAAGCAGATAAATCATTAATTTAATGAATTAACATTCATTAACCAACCTTGGGATTGGCTGGTGCCTTGATGTCCCTCCTCCCACCTTTTAGTTTTTAATTTTAATCATTCTGTTCCTGTTTTAATTGCCTTCTGAAAGAATATAATATTTATATGATTTCTATCTTTTAATTGTACACTGCCCAGAGTTGCTCTGTTGAGTGGGATGGGCAGTCTCCACATTTAATATATAAATAGATTTTCAGGATGTCATTGCTATTGCTTATATTGCTCATGGTCTGATAGTCTGATAGCATGCCGAAGAGCCCAGATACAAAATCAGAGATTTTCTAGTAGAGTTTGAAAATCTGCATGAATCCTCTGAAAGTGTATGATTATCGGTGTCAGCAATTTGGGGTTCAATATAAAGCAGATTACTGCATCGTTATATTGCCAGCAACCGTTCTAAAGACACTGATGAAGTTCATATGTAATGTGTTGGACCTGGCTTGGTGGGATATTCCAATAGAGTAGACTATCTGTAGCTCAAGGTTGACCTGTGAAATTCTTGGTATTCTCTGAGCTTGGTTGTTTACTTGCACACTTTTCATTACCCAACTAGGTAATAAGTTCAGTGCAGTGCTGATATTATCTAGTTGAGTTAATGAAATGTCTGCAAGCAAATAACCAAGCTTAATAGAATATATATGAAAGTGTGTGTGTATGTGTGTGTGTAAACCATAGGTTTGGCTGGCTTACTATTTTATGTAAATGTAGCCAATTATGACTGTTCAGTATATCATGGTTAAATAAACCATAGTTTGTCATGATGTACTAAATTGCATATATAGTTCAGGAACTTCAGTTGGTCAAGAATGCAGCAGCTCTTTGCCCAATTGATTGATTGATTGGTTCTGTGTTTACATAAGTAACATAATTGCCTGCACTTTTGAGTCTTAATAAATCCTTCTAAGTTAAGGAAGAATTACTGATTGGGAAACTTGAAAAAGATTTCATATTCAAAACTATAGATAAATCGGTTGAAGATTAGGAGGGTATCCCCTCCCATCTTGACATTAAATGAGAGCTGGATTCAAGTACTAGGCCATCTAGGTTTAGATTGGCATGTTCTAAGATGCGGTAAACACTATCATTTTCTTGCCAAGACCAAAAAATAAATTTTGACGATCCTGTCAATAGGATATTGGGAAGAGCACAGAATCCCCATCAAATAAATGGAGGGAATTTTTACATGGCACTACTCCATGTGCTTTTTATTTTTAAATTTGGTACTTCGGACATCACAATAAATAAAAGTTAACAGGAGTTTTCTTGGTAGATAGTTAGTCTCCTGGCCATAATAAATATGCTTTACCAGATGTAAAATTAAGATATTTAAGAACTAAATCCTTTCAATATTTAATTTTAATATTTTTTTACCCAGAGTGGCATTTGTACAAGCAAGGTTAATCTATTAGAAAAAGCAAAATCCAAAATTAGCTTTCCAGTTTTCTGCAGCAGCTGACAACAGTAATTGAATCCATTATTTGTATTCCCTTATTTTTTATACTTAGGAAAATGAATCATAAAGCAATAGCAGGACTTGATTGTGAAAGTCTGTTGAGTGATTTTCTTGATTTCCTCGTGAAGGATTTTCCAGAAGGAAGAATTAAATGGGCATTGTGACCAAAGAGGGCAATAAGTATTCATGTGTTTACAATCCCGCCAACACAATCTAGCCATGATCTTTTTCATAGTATTGTGACACTGCTAGGATTTTATAAATGTGATTCAGAAATGAATGACAATGAGGTAACTCGTTTTCCTCAACTGTCACTCTTTTCTGTTTCTTTCTGCTGAAAAGAAACATTGTCCCAATTTCTGCCCTCTAGGAAGATTTTTAAAGTGGGACAATAGTTTCTATTAAGCACACGTATCTTTGTGTTGCAATATTACTAAAATCTAAAAGCAGGAAGGGTCCAAAACAGAGTAGCACTCTAGATAGTAAAGGAAAGCAAAGTTGAATGAAGTCTTGGCAAACATCATCTGGCTCTTTTGTGTGGGTAAGATGTTTGCACAATGACAGAACTGTTTGTTGCGTGGTAGTGCCATCCTTCATCTAAGAACCAAAGTATATGATTTGACTCTGGATTATATTCATAGTTATATTTTTCTAGCTGATCTATTTTGATTTGTTAATTTTAATTAAATACGGATTGCGATTACCACTATGATTTGAGCAATGATACATGTGGAAAAGATATGTTCCCTGTGCTAGTTTTTACAGGTCTTATTTGCCATACTTCCTACTACTTTTAATCCTATTGAATAAAAATACTGTATCCATTTCCCCAGACCATACACTGAACATAGTGTACGCAGTATGTTGTTGTTGTTAGTTGCGAAGTCGTATCTGACCCATCGCGACCCCACGGACAATGTTCTTCCAGGCCTTCCTGTCCTCTATCATCTTCTGGAGTCCATTTAAGCTCACGCCTACTGCTTCAGTGACTCCATCCAGCCACCTCATTCTCTGTTGTCCCATTCTTCTATTGCCCTCAATCTTTCCCAGCATTAAGCCCTTCTCCAGTGAGTCCTTCCTTCTCATTATGTGGCCAAAGTATTTGAGTTTCAACTTCAGGATCTCTAAAGAGCAGTCAGGGCTGATCTCTTCTAGGACTGACTGGTTTGATCGCCTTGCAGTCCAGGAGACTCGCAGGAGTCTTCTCCAGCACCATAGTTCAAAGGTCTCAATTCTTTGGCATTCAGCCTTTCTTATGGTCCAACTTTCACAGCCATACATTGCAACTGGAAAAACCATGGCCTTGACTATACATATTTTTGTTGGCAGGGTGATGTCTCTGCTTTTTAGTATGCTGTCTAGATTTACCATAGCTTTTCTCCCCAGGAGCAAACGTCTTTTAATTTCTTAGCTGCAGTCCCCATCTGTGGTAATCTTGGAGCCCAGGAAGATAAAATCTGTCACTACCTCCATTTCTTCCCCATCCATTTGCCAGGAATAAGAGGGCCGGATGCCATGATCTTGGTTTTCTTAATGTTGAATTTCAAGCCAACTTTTGTACTCTCCTTCTTCACCCGCATCAAGAGGCTCTTTAGTTCCTCTTCACTTTCTGCCATTAGAGTGGTATCATCTGCATATCTTAGGTTGTTGATATTTCTCCCAGCAATCTTAATTCCAACTTTTGATTCATCTAGCCCTGCCTTTCTCATGATGTGCTCTCCATATAAGTTAAATAGGCAGGGCGACAGAATACAGCCGGACTTCTTTCCCAATTTTGAACCAATCAGTGATTCCATGTCCAGTTCTCACTGTTGCTTCTTATATACACAGTATAAATCTATTTTATTTTCTCAGTGCTTGCAGGAATAATGTTCGGTGTTCCCTTAACCAATTTGATATGAAAATATATTTCAAGAACAGTTTATAGCTCTGAAATATGACCAGAATGTAGTTTACTGTTCTCACATGGAACAGAGAAGAAGTTCAAATTACAAATTCTCATAGAGAAGAATCCTTCTCAGCTAATAATGTTTTTATATGTGCCAAATGTACACTATCCAATCATATTTTCACCCAGTCTCATGCTCACTCCTTCATGTGTATTATTTGCTACAGAAACAGAAACCTTATATTCATGTAGTATATATACCGGTAGTTGATTTAAGGTCTATATGTTAAGAGGGTGGGGGTAAGGGTGATGTGTCATCCAAATACATTCAGCACCAGAGAGACTTAGTTATTACCCAAAATATTGTTGAGGTTGTGTTGGTTTAAATTAACCCAAATTGAGATCACCTAGTGGGGAGATTCCAGGAGTTGAAGTCCACACAGCTTAAAACTGCCAAGTTTGGGAAAGACTGGTTTAAACTAACCTCCTTGTGTCAACTGTGTTTTCCAGACATGAGAGGAAAGAGAATGAATCCTCTCTTCCTGATGTCAGGAAAAAAATAAGTTCTAAACTAGCACATTCCCACAAAATCTGGAGTTCTCTATGAACTCTCAGAGTGGGTATAAAAATGAAAAAAATGAAAACACTCCATGTAGCTGAAGGTGGGGGATGAATGTGGGATAGGAAGAAGTGGGGATGAACATTCCTTCCCAACTCTACTGTAGCTCTGATCCCAGTGGTGCCACCACAGGAAATGACAACTTCACAGGGCTCTTTGTGGTGGCTGAACTTCCTGTAAAGGTGACCACTGCACATAAGAGTGCCACATCATCTTACAATGATTACCCTGGAACAGTGACAAGCAAGGTCAACTCTGGAGTGTGAGTGTATTTATTCATGCTGTGATGTCAATGAGTCATGTGCCAAATATAACTTTTTGGACCAGACTGGACCTGCTATTGTGAGGAAACAATTTCTGGTTGTTTCCCAGCAGGGCCAAAAGAGGAGTTGCCCTGAAAAATAAGCTTCCTTAGCACCTCCCACTTGAGAGCCTACATATAAGTATTATATGTTTAAATGCAGCCCACATTAACAGCATCCTAAAAGCTAATATCTGGAAAGGAAGGGCAATGTGTAAGTCTAGTATGGATTTATTCTTTCTCTTCACACAACTCTATTTATTTATTTGCGTATGCATTAAACAAATTTATATGCCTGGCCAACTCACACACAGGTGGCAGCTTATAACATTTAAAAATCAACCACATAAAAATATGCAGTCCTCCATGGCAG